CAGCAGGTTTAGCAGGCACACAGCACCGGAAGCAAATTTCTGCAATATACTAAATTAGTACATGCAGTTTGAAGAACTGAGGAACTTAACGAAACAGGGGGCGTCTTTAAAGTAAGGCATTAATTTGAGTTGAAAATTTGTAGATGACTTATTGAACATTTTTATTTATATAGATATATAAATTGGTCGCGCGCTAGCCATTTCTTTTAAATCATTTTATCTACAGATTAAACGTGTGCATGTATTTAGCTCAGTATATTATTTACGAAATGTAAGTGCTAAATAGTGTCTCGTTTCATTTGAAACTTCTTCCGAAAAAAGCACTCTACCTTAATTAACACCAAAGGCCTTCTAAAGAAATGAATTAATAATCTTAAAGTTGTCACAGGATAATCACTACTTTTTTTCAATTTACGTGCATGCCTTGTGCTGATATTTTGTCAACTATCAGGTTGATCAAAGTGAAATGCAATTGCAAAGCGTTTCAATCAGGAAGCATGATAACTAATCTCCCAAGATTTAGCATAACCGATTGAACCGAATGGAGAACATCCAGAACCAAAAACTGCAGACAGAGTTGAAGATACTGGAAAACGTATCTTATCTTTTATGTGACCACAGTCAACAGCCCTATTCTCAATAAGACAATTACAAATGTTGCGTTCATTCTCTATATATTTATTACTGATCTGCGCTTAAAATACTGTCTGTACTGCGGTAGATCTTTCATACAGTTACGCACTTAATAACAATTATGGCTTGTAAAAAAAATGGGAGATTAGCCGCCCAAATTTCATTTAGCTTCTAGATGGCCGACAAGCTAGAGATACAAAGTCGGTGCAGATTTTGTTCAAGAATTAAAAAAAACTATATTTAAACAGGCCAATGCTGTTGGCACGATGCGCTGTAGGAAATGGAGTACCATAGGAAGATCTGGTGGCAGAAGCAACCGGAGAATGAAATGGGAAACATCATGTTCGGTGGACACGAGAGCAAAATTTGCAAACAACATCGCACGACGCTTTGAACAGATCCCGGTGATGACTTCATGAATCCGATCCCCAACCACTTTAACTGATCCCACTTTATGGATCTTTAAGAGCGGCATACTCGATGTTGCCGCCGAATGCTGCTGAAATAAACTGGTTGGCCTGCCTCCTGGACGTCAGAAAAGATCTTTGTGGTGGGCACGAGAGGTACAACTGGCAGTCAGAGGGAAGAAAGCAGCGTTCACGAAATGGCTTTAAACAAGGAGCCATCTACTCGCGTGCGATACGTCACCCAAGTCGGCAGCCATAGCAGTGGGAAAAGCCAAGGCTAATTCCTGGAAGAAGTTCGGTGAGGTGTGGGTGTCAGATTTCCACACGGCAAACAGAGTATTCTGGAACACCATCCGCCGGCTGCGAGGTGAAAACTAGGGCGGTCACAGAGTCTTGAAGGACAGATATTGACACCCTCTTACCAAGGATGATGACATCCTTCGCGATGGAGGGAATACTTTGAGGAACTCCGCAACTCCGCGCAACAGCAGGAAGACTCGCCTGTAGAGCGGAAAGGTACGAATATTACTATCTCTGTCGATGAAATTACATAAGCTGTGAAAAGCTTGAAAAATAGTAAAACTGCTGGAATTGACGAACTATGCACTGACATACTCAAGGAGTTAGGCGAACAAGACATGGCAGGCTAACACGTGTCTGCCGAACTGCGATGTCTGCGGGAAAGACACCTACGGATCGGAGACCGGGAGTTATTGTACCTGTATTCAAGAAGGGAGACCACAAGGAATGCTTCAATTAAAGGGGCATACCATTATTGAGCCTCCCAGGTAAAGTCTACGCAAAGGTGCTAGAAAGGAGGTGCCGTGAAATGGTTGACCTCAA